TTTGAGCTACGGGGCTGGGAGTTCGCACAGGAGGGTAATCGAGCATGGGGATTCCGAATACAATATTGGTTTTCGGGATTATCGATTACTTTCATCGATTTTATCGATTTTTTTGCAAAGTTTGAGCTAGGGGGCTGGGAGTTGGCACAGGGGGGTAATCGAGCATGCTGATCACCCCCAAGGGGAATGATCAGCATGCTCGATTACACCCCCGTGCCAAATTCCAGCCCCGCAGGTCAAACTTTACAAAAAAATCGATAAAATCGATAAAAGTAATGGACGATCCTGAAAACTAATATTGTGTTCGTAATCAGCATGCTCGATTACCCCCTGTGCAAAATCCCAGCCTCGCATGTCAAAATTTACAAAAAAATCGATAAAATCGATAAAAGTAATGGACGATCCTGAAAACTAATATTGTGTTCGTAATCAGCATGCTCGACTACCCCCCGTGTGCAAACTCCCAGCCTCGCATGTCAAAATTTACAAAAAAATCGATAAAATCGATAAAAGTAATGGACGATCCTGAAAACTAATATTGTGTTCGTAATCAGCATGCTCGATTACCCCCTGTGCCAACTCCTAGCCCTGTAGGTGAACTCTGCAAAAAAATCGATAAAAATCGGTGAAATCGACATCGATCGATAACGAAAAGTGGACTGTGACACCCGCCGGGGCCCGAAGGGTATGTGTGCCAAGTTTGGTCCGGATACGGCGGAGCCGGGTAAGCCAGCTAGTGTTTTTATATTATTTGCATATTCACTTTTTTCTCCATAAACGCTCATAAGTTTTCGTGCAGGAACGCACCGCAGATAAGGAAAACAGAAATGGAATTAGCGTTTTATGCCTTCCAACATGATATACAACCCATCTCAGAAGGCCACTTCGACCAACCATCCTTCCCTTGTGAGTTAGACTGAGTCAAGAGAAGAACAACAATTTCATTCACAAGGTGAGATGATAAGATGCGCACGCTTCCTTTGACGGGTTTCATTTTGGTTCTCTGCGCAGCTGAAACGAACTTCCCCTTCTGTGATGAAAATGACTGAAAAAATTTCTTTTGATGTAAATCGGACTTTTCGACTAATTGGGTGCCCTATCAGCATGTAGGTAAACAGTGCAAGAGCACAAGGTGATCTGGTAATTGAAACCTTCAAAAACTGCGCGTCAAACGGGTCCACGCGACTTTTGGCCGACCGATGTAAGTCGGGGATTGTACTTTTTGCGAAGTTGTGGATTTGGTTAACAAGCCAAATCGCAGACCATAAATTAAGCCCAAAAAGTGAGCAAAATATCTATTTTTACGCAAAGTCAGCGAGAAAAAGGAGTGATTGCGTAGATGATTAATTTGTCAAGGTTTCATCTAATTATCTGCGAAGATTTCTGCTCAGAAGTGTAGGTGACGGAAGTAACTGTCCTTTATGAAAACTACCCAACCATAAGAGCTTGTAATTGATCGAAATTCTTCCCAATTTACCGCTCCTACATGGAAAAGCTCATGGAGTGAGTAGTTGTTTACAATTCGTTCATGATGATCAGCATCGCATAGTGAGTTCAAAGTCAACATCATGTGAGCAAGAGGAAGACGTCGTATAGATAGAGGAGCCAGTGCGAACCTCTGCGAAGCAGAGGTGAAGCACTGGTTCAACTATAGCTTGCTTGGGGAGTCGGCTTCGGTAATGCATTAGAATTAGATGATCGCAAGTCTGCCCGAACACTACCTTTAACAGCGAGAAAATTGGACATCTCATCAGAGAACCAAAGAAACACTTATATTACACGAATATGTTGAAACTCTCAGAGAAAGGTCTCATGCGACAGCAAACGTTCAATGACACATTGAATGATATGACCTTGAGTAACCGAACGGGATGTTTAGTTCACGAATGTGATTTGACCATAGCAAACATTAGTATAGAGTGGCAACGAAGACTATTATACTTAGTTATGGTCCAGCTGAATAAGAAAGCTTTCAGAATCTCTTGAGAAGATCTATCTATTCGGGCCTACACATCCAACTTTTTTTACTGTTATACATTTTTATGCAGGGTCTCCCAAAAAATGTACCTGCTGTTTGGTTGTTAACAACTCTCCTGTAATGAAGTCGAGAAGCTTTATGCACCATTTTGTATAGCTGGCTTCAACTTAGACTTACAGTATAGAGCGAATCACTGACCGCTCTTCGCTGTAGGAATACGGTAAACTCGAAACATAGGGTGTCACTGTGGAAAAAGCTGCCGTTTCAAAAATTTTCAGAAAATGTGAAAACCTGTGTGGTAAGGTTTTTATGGACGCTGAGTTCAATACGCAACTCACAAGATTGCGAAGATTTCTAAACATTGTAACCGCACTTTTAGGAAGGTTGAAAAATGGCCGCTACTGCTTACCTCGAATAACTGTTCAATGAAGCATCATAATAAGTAGGGAACTTTGCAATTGGAATCAGCAACTCTAATTGACCTAGTGTAAAAATTTTTAGGCTGTTCTGTTTCCTTTCTGAGGCAACATATGGCCTTTTCTTGGCTCAAAATCCTCTTTGAAGTTTCTACCTCAATCCTACAGTAATAGAGAAAGATGGGTGATTCGTTTTATACCGTAAGTCTAAACTGGAGCTAGCACTACATAAAATACTTCATTACAAGAGAGCTATTAACAATCAAACAGTAGGTAGATTTTTTGGGACGCCCTGTATACCCCGCCCTGCCAGTTTCTCTTACAGCTTTTCACATATGCTCAAAAACGCTGACGCTGCATCAGTGGCTCAAACACTGCGTGCTGAAGGGAGGAGGGGGGGGGGGGGGGGAAGGGGTGGGGGAGGACAGCGACAAGAATTTTTGGATGAAGCGGCGTGTCATTAGCAGATTCCGATTCTTAGGGGTGCCTTCCAAAGTTGCGAGCCTGTAAAATGTAAAAGTAAGGATTGGCAGCTATGCTTTCGAAAAGTTTATTCAGCCGATTTAGGAGTTTATGAAGCGTACACTTTAATAAAGGGCACGTGAAAACGATTCATAAGCATTTCTTAAGAGGACCTATGCTACTTTTCTCAGTTATTCTAAGTAGAGAGTAACAACTTTTCCTCCAATTTTCGTCAGAAACCTTACACCATCAAAAAGTACAAAATCTTGTCAAAAGTTATGTATTGAAATCAGCATGCGTGAAAAACCATGTTACATAAACTATTGAAAAGCGCCCAATTTTGATATTGTTTCCTATGCTGTGAGGTTCCTACCGTAATCCTACAGTGAGGAGAGATCGGTGATTTGTTCCATCTTGCACATTTGAATTGAAGCCAGCCCAAAACGGCGCGTAGGTTGCCGAAGAACATTGATGCAAGAGAGTTATTAATGATCGAACAGTGTGCACAATTTTTGGGACATCCTGTAAAATAGTCAAATTTAGTCTAAACACATCTTCTTTGGACTAGAGTGGTTCGTCTCACCGCCGTTGCTTTAATCCGTTACAGGTCGCATGACCGCTGATTTGATTCTAACATTCAAAAGCATATTTGTTGCACCGTATTCTTGAAGGCAGTGTCCCGCCATTTACGAATTCTATATTTTTGCGTTATTTTTCCATCCCGCTTTATCACAATGCGGGCTTTAGAGCGCGTCAAAGGGCCTAATTCAAAGCGTTTTCACACTCTGGAAAAGAAAGCAAGGACGAGAGTTTAGGTGAAGTGCAAAGTTCTCAGTACTAAAACCTTGGCGCCGGTACATGGGTGAATAGGGGTGAGAAAACTCCGCCAGTTTGGGCCGCCTCTGCGGACTACAGGTGAGGGAACGAACTCCGCCAGTTTGGGCCGCCTCTGCGGACTACAGGTTCTGCAACGACATGCAACAACATTGCAAAAGGAGCAGTTGCCAGCGGAGGCGACTCAAAGCAAGCGGAGTTCGTTCTCCTATCCCCTGAATAGCTAGGGATTACCCGAGCGGTAATGTGGGTCCTGTGCAGACTGAGACTGCAGTCGTACAGCTCGCGCCAAACTGGGGCTCGCGCTCCGTTAGAAGCGTTTCTCTGCGGACATCGGAAAGAATTGATGCAAATTGGCCATTGGCCAAAAATCTTGCCGTCAAAACCGGCATGTCACCAAGTGAGTAGAGCTAAATGTTAGTGAAGAAGTGAAACACATCTCTGCTTTACAAGGTTTGGACCCCACATTAATGGCTGCTTCACAATCTTAGCAGGTCCTTCCACGGAGTTTTGGTTCTGAAGGTTGTGTTTCTCGAATTTTTTTAGAGTCTTGACTCTTGAGAGATTTTTAACCATTAATTTGGCGATGGCCAAGTTTGCGAAAAACAGTAAATTCGGGAGTGTGTGAAGGAACAACTTCATATAAAGTCATAACGATGACTTTTGTGCTCAATAACTATGACCCAAGTTCTGTGCTTCTCCTTCTCCATCACACCGCAAATCGATTCTATGATGTACAAATGGTTTCAATGCAAAAGGAACGATACAATGCTTTTGAGGCACATTCCTAGAAATAATAACCTTACCAATTTATTTTTAGCAAGGGAAAAGACTTAAGTTTTGTCTCTCCGCTTTGTTTGGGCATCAATTTGTGCATGAGTCGCTTTGATACATAAAAATCGGGTCTGGGTAGCTTATAGCTCATTGATGGTCTCCACACTTACTTGGAGCTGATTAGTTCTGAGAAGTATTGATGAAGTGCTCAAGGAAACCGCTTCGCATAGTATTTAGGCACCGAAGGGAGGGTTTCTTAAAAATGGTCAGTGGAAAATGGAGACTGATACCAATTTGGCCACTGCTCGAACAAATCATCGAAGCTACAGGTCCAAATAGGTGTGAGCGCTCTCCTTATATCCGTTGGAATATGGTTGCTTTTTTTAAAAGGCTGTGTTTTCGGAACTGCCATAAATCAAACTTGTGAGTACACCCCGTCCTCTCTCCCCTTCCGATTTCCCTTTCACCACTTTCCATGCTTCCTTTTTGGATCTGTAATACAGTCATCTCTTGATTCAAAATAAACATCGAACAACGAAATGGGTTTTTATGGAAGAACGGACTATAAGTCCAATGTGAGCAAACAAATTCATAGAAAACATATTTAAGTACACGATCGCGATTGCGGAAATTGCAGAAAAACTGCGCTCAACTGAATTTACAACGAAAACAGGTATTTCATTATTTATATTGCACTCAAAGGTTACACTCATGAATTTTTCATCCTTCTAGTCGTTTCTTTACAAGACGCACGACTTTTCGGCATTTCTCGGCTCCGTTTTCTGCTTGCCGGGCTTCCTAAAAAAATTCGTGAGTGTTTTGCAGAGAATTCCTAGATCAATTTTTGATTGGCAAGATCTATCAGAAAAGAGCATGGAATCGGATAAAGTAAGATCTTGATAATCAGTTCTGGATCGCACCTGAATGGTAATTCGCGCCGGCACCAATCGGAAGACGAATGTCGGATCAATAAACTGACAAGCATAATTCAGCAAATTGACACAAGAGATTCGCTCTTGGATAAGACCACTTCGACATTCGGATTCCTCGCTGAAAATGAAGTAAACTTATGAGTCATAACTTCTTCATAAGGCAACTTTGATCCACGATATTGTAGAGTTAGTCCAAGCTGAAGCAGTCGTCAATGGTTAGGAAGGGCACAAAAGAAGCCCATTATCCTATAGTCAGAGTTTTTTTTCCGTTTTTTTCGCCTACTATAAAGCATAGAAATCTGTTTCTGTACTAACTTACAAAGCAAATAAACTTAGAGCAGATTCTTTGCGCCCCTCAAATCCTCTCCAGAATCGCGTCTGCTAGCGCCGTGCCTAGAAGTCAGTCGATCAATACGGGCGTGAATAGCTGGGCGCTGGCACTGCCCAGCACAGCGCTGGCACGGCTCTAGCACACTGCGGGCACACATATAACTTTGTAGCTAGCTCTGGCTTTGAAGTAGCTTTGGATTAGCTCAGTAATCTTCTAAGAAGACGTTTCTTCAGAGAACTAATGACTTTTTTGATTATAACTTATAACTCTCTCAATCACAGCTGCTTGAAAGTGAATTAATTCTCCTTCCATAAAATTCAGAGGGAGGGATATTCAAAAATTTATTCTATAAGTGAGATAAAGCAGAGTCATATGTGATGTGGGAGACGGTCAAGAGGGCCATTTGTCCGGCTGTCACTGGCTTAAAACTCCAGTTTAGTGCTATGCTAGTCCTCAAAAAGTACCAGATGTGCATTAGCTTACTATCTGTCTGACATTACTAACTGCTGAGTTTGGTGGCTTTTGCTGGAATATGGACCGAAATATTTACGAATTTGTTCTCAACTGCTTTTCATGGGTTTTTGACCTTCAAAGTTGCTGTTTTACATCGATTCCAAGGTATTAAGATTGAACAACCCATGCAACTATCTGATACATCTCCTTTCAAAGTTTAAATACTTTTATAAAGTCATAAAACACTTAATATGTGCTTTTGGTGTCCATCTGGCAGTAAAAATCGTGCTTCTTGACATACACCCATGCAATATTTGGTGTTTTTTTAGTCATGTTACTACGGTACGGAGGATAAGTCATTGTCTCTAGCATATAACGAGCAAAAAATTCTCGAAACTTGAGGTCAGACTATTTCGGTGAATGCTGTGATTAGTTGGATCCAACTTTGTCAAATTCAGCAATTAGGCGGAACCAGAGCTTGTGAAAAGAGAACGAGACATAGCCAAAGCCTGAGATCAGTCTTTTGACAAGCTGTTGCTAACATAAGTAGACAAGATTGTTTTCATCAAGTTTTGCTGTTTATAGTGGTGAGAGATTTTTCCAAAAAGTGGAAGAATTTTTTCTCTCAAGCTGCTCTAAAGAAGTCCAGCAAATTTGGCCTTCCGCTATAGAAGAATTATAAATAGTTTCCTACCTTCTAGGAAAACGTAATCTATAGCGTCACTCCCCCCTCTCCTCCCCAGTTGAGTACGAAATATACGTAAAATTTTCTCAGTACTGAGAACTTGCACGAGTACCTTTTAACCTTGTTTTAGCCATTGTAATGCGATCAAAGCGCACTTCACCTTCGTTTTTCCAATATTTCTTAATGTGAGTCGGGCAAAGAAGATTCAAAGATGTGCAATTTTTTCCAGTCAATTTGAACGCACAAGTACATTCAAGGCTTTTTCTATCGTAAACATACCAGTTATTTGGAAGATAATCACAAGTTGTACGAATATGTATGTGCAAATTGGACCAGGCCAAGGACACAGCCTCTTTCTTTTTTTCTTCTTCCTTCTTCCGCCCTTCTCCTATTATTCTTCATCCCGTCTGCCTTCATTATAAGGTCTTGCTTCGGTAATCGCAAAAGCATCATAAACTACAAACTACACAGAATAGTGCCACATTCTCGTAACATGATTTTCTATAGAACTCAGAATAATATCTTGGAATTTCGCAATGGTTCCTGGCTTTTGCTGAGAATTCTTTTGTCTATGCCAAATGCCCCCAATTTGTTTACAAGAACTGAAGACACTGTTCAGACAAATATTTGGATTTGTGAATATAAGGAGGCCTTTGAAAGCTGCACAGGAAGTAGCTTACATCGTTCAGCGGCGGTCCAGAAGCATAACACTTAAGTCTTACCCAGTTCCGTAACTGAAAACGCTACCGGTCCGCCCGGTGTAAAGGAGTGCAGCACTGAGCGAAATTTTGATTCCGAATTTTTAGCCGCGAATCGGCCAAGCAGCTATGCAGAGGAACTAACTAATTAGTCTAGGCTCAAGAGCCTAAGACTTCTCATCGTCCACCCAGTTTATGATACATCTGCTATTTAGTATGTTCACCTGCTATTTTTTGGAAAGCTAACCTTTTACTAAGGGAAACTTTGGTGAGGAGGCTATCCACCTTATCCCAGTGGCTAGCAGTAGATTTTCTTTCGCATTCAATTAGCCGTTGTTCGATCAATTCAGCTAGAGCTGCGTCCTAAAAAAAAATGACAGATTTTTTTTTGTTATTTCTAGAGAAGAACTATTCTCCAAAATCACCATGAAATTCCAGATTTAAAAAATACGTCGAGTTCGTAACTTATTATGCGTATCGCACACGACGCGCGTTACTTAACGTTTATAATGCATTGAGCACCTTGATGAATGGCCCGTTCTTTCCTTCTCTTGTTTGGGCTGATTGCTATATTGAGTGGTAGAACATGTTCCCAGAGTTTAATCGGCGGAGAAGATTTTACTGGCGAGTTATGTGTAGGATGTCGTCGGTTGCCGCGCGCAATGTGCAGATTCACATATTAAGTTGCAAAATGACTTGCCCGTACTTCTTCAAATATATTAATACTATTCAATGTATTACTTGAATGTACATTTTGTCATTTTATGGCAGTATTCTCCCTTCTCTTGTAGAAGATGGGCTCATTCTTCCCCAGGAATCTTTCAATCTTTTCTAAATTTCTGTCAAAAGAAACCTACCTTTCCTCCTTTTTGCAGATAGACGGGGAATTTTGTGCGGAACTTCTGCGCGATGTTTGAGAGATTCTTTTGACATGCTGAAAGTCAATACATTAGACCGAAAGTTCACACTCCACTCGAAGTCAAAGCCAACCAACAAAGCGCGCATATCACGCATCGCCGCTCCTCCTCCCCCCCCCCCCCCTGGTGCATCGCGCAACTGTTGAGAATATTCAAATCGCTCCCCGACCGCCAACACTTGAGGTCGATATCCGCGATTTGTCATTTCGAGGATTTGCATGTGTAACCTGCGACGATGCAATTCGAGCACAACGAGATCGCCTGCTGGATTGTTATCGCGAACAGGAACAACGTAGTGAAAGCAAGCGGAAGCGGAAACCCGTATTGTGTCACGCTGCGCGTCAGCTCGCGCGCGTGTTTCTGATCGTAATTGGTGATTTTGCTAACCAGTGTCACAGATTTTGCTGCAAATTCAGTTCCGCGGATATCATACAAGTGATAGGCACAAACTAGGATCACTTACTTCTGGAAACAAGCAAAGGAAGTTGAACCGTGTTTGCTGCGACTTTGTGCAATTACGTACTTCACATAAAAAAAGCTGCTTTTAAGTGCGTCTATGTTAAAATTTCGGAATAGTGTTTAACAAACAATCGTATCATACACATAATGTATGATACGATTGTTTCACAGTTTATTTTTTCAGCTTTTAAAGTTTCGAATTATAATAGATAAGTTGGGCAGGAGTTGTTTCTTGATTTTTCATAAACTACCGAGATGTTATTATTGAGAAACCACTACCGCTTTATTTTCCCAAAGATCTATTTGACCCTGAAGTTTTGGCATTTTATGAGTACTGAAGGAATTAGACAAATTACCGGCAATTCCCATGACAAGCAAAATTTGCAACGGTTCCGCAGGACTTTGTGTACTATTACATAAATGGAAACTTGCAAATGGGTATTTCTGCAGCACTTAATTTTGGAAGTTCCGCAGGTGACCTGGCGGAACCTTTCCCAACGTTCTGTGGAAGTTCCCGTCAGTTGTCTGAGGATATTGCAAGCGATAATGGGGTATTGGAGATCAATCATCTTTATCAAAACGACGGTAATTTTCTGACTCCTAAATATAAAATCTGAATTTTTGATTTTTTTATGCGAACGAAAGTTTTGTAAATGTCGACCGATGCTTCTGAATTTGAAATAACCAGTTTTTCCTGAAAATGAATTATTCCGAAATATTTTTACAGAGAATAAAAAAGAAAAGTTACTCATGAAGAGGAAAATTCTTCACCATGTATCCACATACTGTCAAATCAACATGGTGTGATACCCCATATTCTAAACGACGTGGAGTCTACGGGACTCTCCCGTAAACTTCACCTAATCTGCGGTTTCAAAGCATTGATCCAGTTTTTCTAGCCCCATTCATGAGAAAGGATCGCATGCGCGACGTACGCAGAACCGGCAAAAAGTAATTGGACGAGATTGGATAAATATCTGTGGCTATCGATTCGGAAGTAAATCGATTTTCGGGCTAGAGTTGAATAATTGAAAAACAATACTACTCTTAAATTACTGATAAATTCAGAGAGTTGTCCTTTCAATACAGGTCTAAATTTTTCTCCGAAGACAGTTTGAAATATGTGGCGAAGATCGGATCATAACAAAATAACATGGCTTTTCAATTTATTTTCTTTTTAAATCCAGCTTAATATAGTTTTTTGACTGAAGAAGTTAGGTGTAGAGATAATCTTCCTATATCATAATCATTCCCAAAATTTTGTGTGAGTCTTCAAGGAGGCGATCATGACCAACTTCGCCCCTTGCCTCACACTTTCGGCCTTTCAAAAAATTTGTACCCACTAAATCTGATAGCTATCTGCAAAAGTTGTCCCCTTATGTAAATACATTCCACTACTTGATTTTCGTCACTTTTGGTGATAGTTTAGTTCTCACTTGCTGTGTACAGTAGAGACTTTTTGTGTTTGACTATGTGCAATTGGCACACTATCCACGTTGTACGTAAATTTAGGACTTCTCTCGACAAGAGAAAGGCAATTCAATTTGAAAAATAATTCTGACGGTGTTTTCTTTCTAGTTTTCATTCGTCTTAAGCAGCAGGATAAAATTCGAGACGTGCCTGAATGTGTATGCTTGCTCTGAATTTTCCAAAAAAGACGCGCAACGTAGATGGTGTTCTCAATGGCACACTTTTGAATGGAATGGCTGTATCAAGTCACTAGGCCACGTCCAGACTTGCCGCTATGGCAGCGCCAAATTGGGGTCGTGCCAGCGCTCGATCGATCAATAATCGTGACACATGGGCATTGCCACATCGGCTGCACCGCACTGGCACGTGGACAACTCTGGACACAACCTCAAAATAGCGCACTCTTCAAATGACGGATCCTTACGCCATCGCATTAGCTTCAAGCACGCTATACGCATACCTCAAACGGGTTGACGCTTTGATTGCATGTAGTGCGTATAATTGAAAGACGAACAGACTGTAGCTAAGCTGAGCCAATCGGGTTTTTTACGAGTGTTCGAAACTACTGACCGGTGGTGTCGTATTGCTCCTTAAACCATAATGAAACTCGATTTGGTGTTGAACTTGAAACTTTTTCAATTCGTCCTTGATTTACGGCAGCCTGTAAAAATTGGAAGTTGAAACGGGAGTTTATTTGCAATTTGAAATAGGAAAAGGGAGAGAAAGCGTTGGGAAGGGAGGGCAGCTAGCAAGTTTGACTACTTGAAGCATAGAATAAGGAGGGCGAGGGAAGGGGAGTGTATCACCTTTCTCCAAACATTCTTGTACCGTAGGCTAAGCTGAACTACTAGTTTCATATCGATTTCATGCGAATGTTTCGAAATTAATCGCATTTTATGTGTGTTTGCGAATTTCAAATTGCAATCTGATCTTTATCCACATCATATAACAAATCACTCCAATTTTGAACCAAAATCTTCAAAAGCCAAATTCAGGGATGAGATAAAGCATCAGTGTTGCCAATTTGTACACGGTTTAGTTGGAAGCGTGTTATGCAAATGCGCAAATTTCAAACTGCAAACTGTTCAATACTTATCAGATACATTTTGCCCTAAAGATACTGAGGAAGTTAAACTTGAGCATTGTCTTTATTGTCAGTTAATAATTTGATATCCATGATGTTGTTACCTGTGCTGTTGGCACCGGTTGGACGAGTTGCGCACTCTCTTGGACCTGTAAAAAATGTTAAGAATCAAGCTAATGCAGTTCTTTTTACACAGTTTGTATTTTCACTGCATACTTTCGACATGCACGCAACCCACAAATCTCCATCTTCTTTTCCCACTCAGTCTATTCCCCTTCTCAGCCTAGTCATCAAAAAGAAGCCCAAAACGGGGTAGTCAACGAGGACAAGCGGAAAATGTTGTCATTCAGGCTTTGCTGGAGAAGCGGATCCTGATTCATGAGAACTTTTTTCCGAAATCGACGTAGTCAGCAGATTTGGAGAAGAATGTGAAGGAACAAGTCAAAAATCTGTCATCGATTCGAATATAAGATACCGTCTTCTCAAAACTCGGAAGAAGAAATATACAAATCAATAAGATTACTTGTATATGGTATTTTCTAAAAAAGTGGCGATTTAGAGTTAAAAGCTGCGTCTCATAGACAGAGTTGACGAATCTAATCTCCAAACCACTTAGGAGTATTTCACCCCACTTTTTACGAAAACGCCAGAAGAATTTACTTAGTGAGCTTGAAATAACTGACTGAGAAAGTCACGTTAAAGCATGATGGAAGGATGATGAAGGTAAGGAAAAAATTCGGGAATGTGGTGCATTTGCTCGAAAATGTCTAGATTTATTTCAAGAAACTTTTTCAGCAATAAATCTTTTATTGAAATTATTGCGTTCGAAAAATGATGCTGTAAGTAGATTGGCGTTCTTTTTTGCCAGAGTGAACCGAATGAAAGTATTCCTAGATTCAAATAGAATGACTTTGAATCCGGTTTGAAATTTTCTACCGATTTTTGAAAAAAATGATGCAGTAGACCAGTTCTGAACTCTTTGCAAGATGAAATAAGATCACTTCCAAATTGAAATAAATAGAATAATACTATCTACCTGTGCATTTACAACTGGAAGTGATGCTTGTGGTAGTGGTTGAAGTTGTCTCGGTGGCCCTACAGCGATTCCCTCACCAGCCGTGACGATCTGAAACGACAAGCGTGACCAACGACAAGTGGGAGACCAACGTCGCGAAAAATTCAGTTGCTTTTATGGATGTTTGCGTAATTGGGAACTATGTGGCCCCCAGAAATTTGAGGAGAGGAGTGAAAAGACGCCGCATGAAAATATAGATTTTTATGTGTTGGCAAGAGAAATACAAAAACATTCTATGTTCGATATCCGCCAAATAGTGAAGTATCCTAGAGAAAACCAGTCACTGAGCGATCGCTGACGTCTTCAAGACGATCAAGATCTTTTTTGTTTCTTTGACAAATATGATCAAGAATATCTGATCTCAAAATGGAAAAAAGCCAGTTTGTGTAATTTCTAACAGATCATTAAGCTGGCTTCGAAAAATTAGTTCATTGAGAATTGGAAGGTGCACTCTTTTTAAGTGACTATTTCTAGTAGATAAACGAAACGAGAAAAAAATTTGCAAAAATTCTTGGCTAGCAATGAGTTAATTGCAGTGTTCTGTAGTCAAACTATCAGCAAACTAATAGCGACAAACTGCGTAATTTTTGGGACAAATCAGTCAACCTTTTAAAAAGTAATTGAAAGTTTGAAATATAGCAAAAATCGATATAGAAGATACGTGGTAATGTTATAATACTTTGGTTGATGTACCAGGAAATCGAAGTTTTCAATTAGCTAATATAGGAACCACTATCATTATGAGCAGTGATGTCGTTTTGGCATGTGGAGAAGATAGAAAGGAAATTTGGTCAAAGGCTTCAAATTTAGGGATAATAATGGCATGGCACCCTTACTGTCAGACTTTGAAAAAAAAAAGCCAATGGTGGAAGGACAAAAAAGAGCAATTTGTGCAAATACTCAAGGCATTATTGACTGGATTAACACCAGTTTCTAAACTTACCCTTTCGAATCGTTGCTGTGGAACACCTTGCTGTACCGACGGAAGGGTTGCAGCTGGTACTTGCTGCTGTGCCTGTACCTGTGGTTGTACTTGTTCGAATTGCTGGGGTTGCTGCTGAAACTGTCCCGGAGGCTGAGCTACTTGCTGTTGGGCTTGCACTTGATACTGTGGATAGTGCTGTTGATAATGGACTTGAGTTTGAGGCTGAGGTTGTTGGAGCTGAAGTTGAAATTGTGGTTGAGGTTGTTGGACTTGAAGATGTGCATGAGGCTGTGGTTGAGACTGAACTTGAGAATGAGGCTGGGGTTGCTGTGGGGGTTGGAGCTGAAGCTGTTGTGGCTGTTGAACCTGCTGTTGGGGGGCGTAAATTTGACTATATTGATAGTACTGCTGCTGGTACTGCTGGTAGGGCTGCTGTAGAGCCTTTTGGGTCTGTTGTTGTCCGAACTGCTCTAGCTGCTGAGCTTGTCCAAATTGTCCACTATACTGCTGCTGCTGGGCTCCAACACCTCCCTGCTGCTCTTGTGGTTGCTGAACTCCTTGCTGAGCCTGCTGCTGCTGCTGCTGTCCGTACTGCTGATACTGCTGAGCATGCGCATTGATACCAGAAAACTGTGCCGGTGGTGGAGCTGCTGTAAATGGCGCTATTGTGGGATGAGTTGGGAAGGTGAAGGGAGGCAACGTTGGATGAGTGGGCAGTGTAAAAGTGCCCATAGTATGATGAGTAGGGACGATGAATGGAGGTGGTGGAGGTGTCGGTTGCCCTGGGAAGCTGAATGGTGCTACAGTTGGGTGAGTGGGGAAAGTGAAGGGGGCGATGGTAGGATGAGTTGGGAATGTGAACGGGGCGATGGTGGGATGGGTTGGGAAAGTGAAGGGAGAGGGGGTAGCCGCAGCATAGGGCGGTTGTGGTAACGGTTGAGGTGGTGCTGGCGCAGGCGGTGGTGTAGCTGGCTGGACTTGTGGAACCTGGAGTGCGGCTTTGTTCACTTTGATAGGTTTTACGCTGTCTTTGATTTTCTTCACTGGAGCTTCTTCGACTTGAGAGAGAACAGCGTAATCTTCCGGGGGCAGCTCAGCCGGAATATCAAAAATCGTCGATTGGAAAGTCTGCTGTTGCTGTGCCGCGGCCGAAGCAGCCAAAAGTAGAACGCCGAGAAGAGCGCCGGGCATCATGGCTGTCGAGTCGAGGAGCGAGGAGGGCTAAACGACGACGAGATGAGGCGGCAGGCGGGTTCTCAGAGATGACCAACATCGGCGGATCGCGACGGTCAACGCGCGAAACCCGTTCCCAGTCACCGCCCCCACCCCGTGGCCACCCGCGCACTTTCGCGTTTCGTGTCGCCGCCCCTTTTCTTCTCTTGTCCTCATCGGTTTTTTTTGTCATCTCACAAAAACATCGCAGAGTGAAAGACAGTCTCAGTTTTTGGAATACATAATACATAGAATGTTAAAGTACAACAAAATCTCTGAGGGTGGAGGTGTAAATAGGATTGCAAAAATTCAAGTTATAAAATGTTTTTTAGATCGCATTGCAGGGTTTAGAGACATTATCCAATTACGCAATAATCTACTCAAAGTTGGCAATGTTGCAGCAGAATAGAAACTATAATTTTTTTAGGGAAATAACCAAATATTTTCTTATTCAATCCGGAGAATACTTGTCTGATCGGATTTCCAGCTGCAAGACCGCTTGTAAAATTTATCATAGTGAAGGTCAAAAAGGTCAACGTCAAAATAAATTTTCTTCGCTAGCTTGGATGAGAAAAAACTCAAATGGCATAGGTCATGATGTCCCTAACTCAATATCGATTTAAAAAAACCAGAGTCATTTCAACAGCACAATCTTTTCCAAGGACGAATACTGTCATCACAAAGGCAAACTTTGAAACAAGAAAACTGGAGCCTCAGAAAACAGAAGTTTTTTTATCTTTGGCCATGATCTGATCTTTTGTAGCTCAGAGCGTATGGAATCAAGCGGATAGATAGAAACGCTCAGAGAAACATGGGAGATATTTTTCTCAGCTGCAACTGATCAACCAAGATTTTCAGAGTGTTTGGACTTTGCCAAGAACCAAAAGAAATTTTATAGTCTTTTTTGCATAAAACATATTACAAAGTAAAGCATTTCTTCAAACATTGTTCAAGAAAAAGACTCTCACAAATTGCTACTACTGAAAGGGTGAAACTGTTCTTTTGACCCTCAACCCAGCCACTCCTCTCTTTCCTAAGGTAGTGCTTTCTATTCGAGTACAACCATACCACTGGCACACAGAGCTTTTATGAGCTTAGAAACATAATTCCGATAGACTATGCGTCATGATTTCTTGCCTCGGTGTGGATTCCAAGGAGCAATTGTCTACCACCTTTAGCGTAATCAAGCCTAATGACGCCTAGGAGTCATTTCAAGGCACACGGTGTCGCTTCGTCACACTGCCATCGGGGGAGGGGAGGGGAAGGGGGGGGGGGGAGAGAAAGAAGGGGGAGGACGGGCTCGTAGATGGGCGAATTCTGAAAGGTGACAGACTCCATTTTTGCAAAATTCAAAAAGTTCGCAAAAAATTTCACACTTAATTAGACGCTCTGAATTAGACTATGAGTCATTACCTGTCCAGTTAGACTTTCGACTTCCACGTTTTTGTCGTTTCAGGGCCTTCTCTTGTCCCTGATTCCGAATATGAAGTCGAGAATGCGCAAAAACCCCGACAATCCCTGTTTCGGAGAACCCACAGGCCGGCTTTCAGGAATGGTGATTGGACGGGCGCGCAAAATGGGCAGGCATGGATGGGGGAGGGGGGGGGGCACGGATGGGGTCCTCGTGCATCTTCGCCAATCCGAAGCGATTTTCTCGCCTCCGAAGCGGCATTTTGCGCTGCGACCTGGGCATTGGATTGATAGGGGGCCTCACTATTATATGTTGCCAAAAGCTCAACACGCTCAACTTAGGATGGACGGTGCTGGAGGTTATGATGGCATACTAGCATGGCTCCCCACACTAAACAAACACCCAGTTTCGCAACAAAGATTGCTTCAGGAGCGAGTCCGCTCCTGAAGCAATCTTTGCTGACGTAATCCGGTGCTGGTCGCTTCGCCCAGCTGGTCACTTCGCCCACTTTGCAGGTTTGCAAATGACGCGCCCGGCGTATATCAGCGCCACAGCCCCACGACTTGCATTGCGCCCTTCTCGAAAACGGGGTTTTTTGGAAGGGGGACGGGGTTCGTGAATCCTCGACTTCATATTCGAAATCAGGGCCTTCAGAGCCCTGAAGCGACAGAAACATGGAAGTCGAGAATTTGGGTGGACGGTGCCTTTAAGCACCAAAAATCCGCAGAAACTCCTTCCTCTTCTCATGGGGCTTGCAAGTTTTGATAGATATAATTTTGCACCTTTTTCCTTTCTAACGCAAGCCCTTTCGTATCACTTCCATAACAATACGATTTTTGATGACGGTTTCTAGACCAGTGACATCACGTATGTAGGCTATTACGCAACGATGCATGGCTACGTAACCGATGTATCCGTAGGAGATTTTCGTAAGAAAAACTGGACGAACAATAAGTCAGCTTACGCGCAAGATCCTAATCTTGATGCATAAGGATTTTCGTTTTCTTTGCAATCCTTAGCATAGATTTTGGTTGAAAAAAGGTCTCAAAGGATCAGTTTGTTCCATATCTAATTTATACATCTGGCTTAATTGAAAACTTACTGAACTTTCGCTGAACTTTGGGAGAAGTTTAGCATATGTTGAAGATGTTTCGCAGGACTTTGAGGAAGTTTCGCACAATATTTTGAAGAACCTCCGCAGGACATTGGGAAGTTCCGCATGGTATCTTAAACTTTCGCAAAACTTGGCGGGAATTTCGTATGGTCTTGCTTGCGCAAGACGCTAGGGGAAATTCTGTAGAAGTTTAGATTTCGACCATAACATTAGCATGTTAGTAAAAGGATAAGGATTACTGAATTAGGGACTTAACAAATCAATCCCAAAAATAACGAAAAAAGCATCTGTTTCGTACGCATTGGGGGGGGGGGGGGAAGCTAAATCTGGTCATAGAGAACAAAAGAGAAATAAAAAGAAGTAAAATAAAATTAGGTAAGTATCAAGAGATTATGACGATCTCTTCCATCTTTTGCTAGCTTCAATTCACTAACTCTTTCAAACTTTCTATATTCACAAATGTGTTAACATATCCCAGCGGTCACATTGTTTGTGACTGTCGAGATGCAAGTTTCGTCTTTTCGCGTATATCCACAATGACTAAGCCTGAAATGATAGATGTCGTCGCATAAATGCACCGTGCTTCTCTATGTTTCAAGTTTCGCTAGGAAACAAAGGAGACAGGGGTTTGGAGAAGATACGCCGTATCATACAGTGCTGGACATAATTATAAAGCCACTCTAGAAATCGTCTTGTCGTTCTGGCCAATGAATCTTAAATAACAATATTACCAGAGGACACGATCTCAGACTCACAGTGGGAAAAGTACGTACACAATAGTTTCACGACTCTTTATTGGCACGTGTCATCAGAACATGGAACGCACTCCCTGAGAAGGCTATCAAAACTACATCTATATTTGTACTCAACAGAGGAGTTCTAAAGAGTTTGAGTCCAAAGGGTACTTCTGATAACATTATTTACAAGATGCTGACTATGCTCTATTTGATCAACTTAATCAATGTTACAATAGAATGACGATGTCTGCTGCTGCCAAAAAATCTGCATCCATTTTTTATTTCCATCTTTCTTTTTTTCAAGTGTTTCCAAATCACACTTATGACTAAACAATTCCATTCGCTAATTATCCATCATCTTTTTCTAAAAATATCTATACATTCAGAGTTTTATTCCCATGCATTAGCATATATCGCGAATTATTTTTTTCCAAAATCTTGGTGTTCTATTGAAAATCATACTTTAGCGGATCACGTCAGCTAGCCTTTACCCGCAGGCTCGCTGGCACTCTAAAAAAGGGATATTATGCATTTTCGAAGGGCTCCAAGATTTCCAAGTCGATCATTCTTGTTGACACGTGTCTATCTGTCTCTTTGTGTTATCGACTGTCTTCTTCTTCTTTATCTTCGCCATTGTCCCGCGGGTGCAGGGTCGGCGGTGGTGCATTTTTGCTTCCATTTGACTCGATCAGCTGCTTCTTGTGGTTTGAGCTTTGCAATGTGCAGGTCGTTTCGAATGGTGTCCAACCAGCGTTGCTTCGGACGGCCACGTGGTCTCTTCCCCTGTGGATCTAGACGAAGTGCTGTTTTTGCTACTGTATTATCTTCACTTCGTAAAACGTGACCATACCATCTTAATCTGGCACCTCGCATCTTATCCGCGATAGGTGCAACTCCGAAAATGTGTCGTACATCATCGTTCGTGACGCAGTTTCTTCTCGTTAGGCCCAGTATCCATCTTATCATTCGCGTCTCCATCGTGCTCAGGATCTGCTCGTGTTTTCTGGTTGCTGGCCAACATTCGGCTCCATACAGTGCGACTGGCCTCACCACAGTCCGATACACTTTCGACTTGAGATACAACGGAATTCGTCGGTCGCAGAGTACTCCTGTTACTTGCCGCCATTTTAGCCACGCCGCGTTCGTCCTAGCACGAGCATCAGTGATCGTGTCGCAATCTGACGTCACTCGGGAGCCCAGGTATTTGAATATCGTGACCTTCTTCAGCTGCTGCCCATCGATGCTAATTGTGCCATCGGTTTGCTCTCCGCATTCCAGGTACTCGGTCTTTGCTACGTTCAGTCGTAGGCCATACTCCGCTAATCGTGTCTTCCATCTCACAATCGCCTCTTCAAGCTCTTGTCTCGATCCGCTTGCTAGCTCGACGTCGTCTGCGTAAAGGAGCGTCCACGGATGCGGCAGCTGGATGTCCTTGGTCACCGTGTCCATGCACAGTATAAAGAGAAGCGGTGATAGAGCCGATCCTTGGTGTACTCCGACTTGGATTGGGAATGGCGTTGACGTTCCCACTGCACAGCGTATGGCGCCCGTCGTGTTCGTATAGAGGAGTTTGATCCAGCGAACGTACTCTTCTGGGACGTCGTGTTTCCTCAGCGCATACCAGATCAGCCCGTGCGGTATCCGATCAAATGCCTTTTCTAAATCCAGGAATGCGAAATGAATCGGAATCCGTTTCTCCAAATGCCTTTCCATTAGCAAT